AATTAGAAGATGATGAAACTCTTACTGAGAGAACCAATCTGAGTATCGAAGGAATTTTGGAATTTTTGGAATTATGCCTAAAAACTACATATTTTCAATTGGATGATGAGTTTTATCAACAGAGTTTTGGCATGGCTATGGGCTCACCACTATCTCCAATTTTGAGCAATATATTTATGGAGAATTTCGAAGAAAACGTTATTAAAAATTACGAAAAACAACCAAAAACGTGGTGGAGATACGTAGATGACATCTTCATAATTTGGCCACATACCCTTATAGAACTAGATCATTTTCTAGATCATGTAAACAATGCAGAACCTACTATAAAGTTCACTTTGGAAATTGAATCTGACAATCAGTTACCATTTTTAGATGTTCTTATCAAAAAATCAAACAATGTTTTCTTAACAAGTGTATATCGTAAGAAGACTCATACTAACAGATACCTCAATTTTCAATCAAATCATCAGAAAGCTATCAAAAAAGGAATAATCAGATCACTTCATGATCGAGCCAAATCAATATCATCTAACCAACAAATTTTCAATAACGAAATCCACCACATCAGAGATGTTCTTCAACTCAACTCATATCCAAGGAACTTCATTGATAGAACGATTCACCAAATTGAAAACAAACAAAATACACCACAACAAAAACAACCATCAATAACGACGAATATAATACCGTACATTCCCGGCATATCTGAAAAAATAAAACGTGTTGGTGATAAGTTCCAAGTGAAAACTGTGTTCAAAACTGAAAATACAATGAGATCCATTCTAACTCAAACAAAGCCAAAAAATGAAGAACAATCATCAAAAAATTGTATTTATAGTATACCTTGTGTTTGTGGAAAGTATTATACAGGTGAAACGAAGAGACCTCTCTCAGTAAGGACAAAAGAACACAAGTACAATATCAAGAAAAGACATATCGATAAATCGAAGCTAACTGAACATATCCTCACTGAACATGGACAACATATGGCACAGTGGAATAATATCAAAATCATAGGAAAGGAAGATAACAAACAAAAAAGAAAAATAAAGGAATCCGCTTGCATTCTTCTAAACGGAGACAATAGCATTGCTTCCTGTTCAGTTGATATTGATAGAACATGGTATTCACTACTGAAAACTGAACATGAAAATGGTAGATTCAAGATCAATTAATGAAAACATCCTGTAACTCATTTGTAGACTAAAATCACTCATTCATATGCCAACATCAGTATGACATTGAAAAGTGTCAAACTATACGCAGCAAAAATTTCAAAGAAAAATAATTTGCAGTTACATGTTGAGAACGGGAGCAGAATCGGTCCCGAAACGTCCAAAGATAAGTACAAATTCGATATTTTTTCAATATATCTATATTTCTTTCCTTCAAAAATTTTTTCAAACAAATTGTCACTGACAAGCTACTGGATTTTTCTTTTAGACTCCCTGATAGAAAAATTTGTTAAACGCAGTGACATTTTGGGGCAAATCATCTGATTTGTCCCTCTACAAATATATTGAAATAATACGAATACTTTTATTTTATAGAAACCAGGAGAGAAAATCCCAAAGAACCAAGTAAAATGAATGTACCACCTCCTCGATTAACCTACAGACAGTATTTAATACTAATAATCCTCGTCGCCACTTGTAATGTTTTCAGTTAATATGAACTGAAATAAAATTCAACGTTTTCATTCGTGAAGAATTTATTCACTGCCTTTACCGTTGCCGGTCCATATCGAACAAAATCCTTCGATAAGTAAATGCCCAAAAAAAGTATATAGTGATAAAAGCAGTATACACGACTACACATGAAATAAACTAGTAGCACATAATTAGATACACTACACTATGAATAACCAATTCGGAATACCACAGGTCAATAAAAAAGTGCTCGGAATGATGTCAGATGAAAACAAGAGTCGAATAATGATGGACTATGTGGGCTTGAGATCTAAACTATATGCCACCAAAGTGTTGACAACTGAAAATGGAATTGAAAAGAAAAGATCAGAATTGCATGCAGAAAACTATGATCAGGAGGAAATCGATGATATAATCATGAATATGGGTGTAATGAAAAAGGCGAAAGGTGTAAAGAAGTCTGTTGTTGAAACAACTATAACTTTCGATGACTATGTTGAATGTCTGGAAACAGCCAAACAGAAAACAGTATCACAAAACTAGATTAGAGCCAAACAGTACCAGGTCCATTCAATCACGCAGAACAAGATAGCTCTCAGTCCAAATGATGATAAGAGATACATTATATCAGGAATCGATGAAGCGTTACCATGGGGCCATTATTCCATCAATGGTGAAGCAATGGAAATTGATAATTAATTAATTAATTTTATGTAAAATGTGTGATGAATGATTAGGTTAGCAATTGAACAAAAAAGAACCATCAGACGGATTAATGAAGTGTTTCTATTAATTTAGGAATGAATCTTCGTGCTGTCTGCGAAAACATACATCAGACGAATCAATGAAGTGTTTCTATTTATTTAGGAATAAATCTTCGTGCTGTCTGCGAAAACATACATCAGACAAATTAATGAAGTGTTTCTATTGATTTAGAAATACATCTTCGTGCTGTCTGCGAAAACATACATTAGACGAATTAATGAAGTGTTTCTATTAATTTAGGAATAAATCTTCGTGCTGTCTGAGAAAAATTGTTAACCTAATTATTTATCGTCGCAAGTGGTCAGAGTAGGTCTACCGGAGAGCTTCCCACTTTCAAAAAAAGAAGCAACGCGCCACAAGGCACTACCTCGAGGGTGGTGGGGAAATGTGCTGCTATATGTATAGTTTATTGAATATATTATAAACATTTTCAACACTGTGTTTGATTTCAATCCTTTGGTGTAACCCAGAGCTGTTTCACATGTTTTCAGTTGGGAGTTGTTCGGTATTTGTCGCGGAAACACCTCGAACGATAACGAGATTGTTGTTATCTTGAATGAAGCAGAAGTGGTAGATATAATGAAATATGTCTGACATTTCAGTGGCGTTACGTTCAATAAATCAATGTACGATAAAGATGTGATAAAGTATGCCAAACAGCTGAAAATACCGTATTTTCGAGGTGTTTTTATGCGGGACACTCTACCTTCCACCGGTCCATGGCATCGCGAGTGTGCTGTATTGAATTTGGATACCGCCAATCATGCGGGCACTCATTGGGTGGCTTACATGAAAAATGATAAAAAAGCCTTATATTTCGATAGTTATGGTAATCTGAAACCGCCCAGAGAATTGGCGCAATATTTGGGTGTCAGCACGAAAATCTTGTACAATAACAATCAATACCAAAATTTCAATCAAAGTAATTGTGGACGTCTATGTTTAGAATTCCTTTTTGATGAGACCAAGTAACTCGGTCATTGTGCATCAGTCATGTCTCTGATTGTGACGTTGAAAGGTCGTACATCTACGCTCTCCATAGACTTTTTGACACCACTTCAACTCGATCCAGACTCTGATTACAGACTAGCATTGTTGGGATTCCATTCATACAACAGTATACCAAATATCGACAAAGGATCAAAGTTTTATCTGCAAGATAAGACCAAGGTGGGAAAGATCATCGATATTCCCGAAGGTTCATACGACATTGTGGACATTGAGACATTCATACGCAAAAAATTGGGCATCTCAAGTGCAAAGGACGTTGATGATATATTCTCGTTGAAGCCCAACAATAATACACTAAAGTGTGAGATTTCGAGCCAAAGGTTTGCCATCGATTTTCGCCCGAAGGATAGCATAGCTCAAGTCTTGGGATTTTCAAATAGATTGTTGAACGCACAACAAGTCCACACTTCCGATTTGCCGGTCAGCATAACCAAAGTGAGAACCATTCACATTGATAGCAACGTTACTGCTGGAGCTCTCTACAACGACAGACCATCACATACGATCTACGAGTTTGCAGTTGCGGTCGATCCTGGTTACGCCATAGACGAGACTCCCAGAAATCTAATCTATCTACCTATAGTCAGCAGGTGGGAATTGCCCAACATTACACTCCAGATTCTAGACCAAGATTTCAGGCAGGTGAATTTTAGAGGTGAAGAAATCATCATAAGATTGGAATTGAAGAAACTCGCAAGATGGTACTAGTGTTTGATTACTCCTATAAATCAGATAATATACCATCATCAGCAACATCATCGGCACCAGTTCTCTCGACACCGTACACCAAAGCAGTCGTGTCTTCGAAGAGTAGCAGCAGCAACAGAAAAACATTGACATTATCCAGTGTCCTGTTTCTGAAATCACTCAAAGACTACAATGTTGTTAGCACCCGTGTTCGACGTTTTCCGCAAACCCAGACTCGACGAAAGCATCACTAAAGTGGAATGGCGTACCTATTATCCATATGTGAAATCATTCGAGAACAATGATGTCATCGATATAACGGTTAATCAAGCAGATTCGTGGTTGGCCATGTTTGAAGGCATCATTACCATCAAGGGTAAATTGAAGGTGACCGGTGGTGGTACTGGTACATTAACCCACAATGCTGGAGCTTATCTCTTTGATTCCTGCACCTATGAATTATGTAATAAAGAATTGGACACTGTCAGATATCCTGGAATAACGAGTACTGTGCGAGGATACTTGTGTTATACACCTGAAGACTCACGTCATCTAGCCATAGCAGGCTGGAACTATCCCAATGCTCCGATCCTCAACACCGATGGTACGTTTAGCATGAACATTCCACTGAAACATTTGTTTTCCATCTTCAATGATCATCAAGTGGCAACGTGGGGCAAGCAGTCAATCCGTTTAGTGAGAGCTCGCAATGATGCCAATAGTGTGAAGGTTGTCGAGAGAGCGAATACTGCTTTGCAAGGATCTCCTCAGACTCAGAGTATTGCTAAAATAACGATAGAAAGCATCAATTTGAAAGTGCCACATCTCACACCCAACGATGACATAAAGTTGCAGTTGTTGACACGTATCAAAGCAGATGAGTCTATGATGATACCGTTTCGCCGATGGGAATTGCACGAGCTACCAGCACTCACACAAGGATCTACCATAGAAATCTGGTCCGTAAAGACATGTTCTGCATTGGACAGTCCAAGATATGTTATAGTATTTTTCCAAACGAAAAAAGCCGATAATTTGCATGAAGACGTCACCTTGTTCGATAATGCCAACATCAAATCCATACGATTGGCTCTGAATAGCGACTATTATCCGCAAGAAAGAATGCTATTGGACTTTTCCAAAGACCAATATGCCGACGCCCACTTCAACTATACAGAGTTCAACAAGAGCTACCATAACTGTCAAGAAAAGCGCTCTCTAGTAAACTTTGCCGAATTCAAATCCCGACCAATGTTTGTTATCGATTGCTCGAGGCGCTATCTGGGTCTAAAGTCGTCCACAGTTGACATGAAGTTGGACATTGAAGCGACTACAGGCTTCCCTCCCGACACCAAAGCCTATTGCATCATCATTCACGATCAAATCATGGAACATCTCCCGCTCAGCGAAATTGTTCGAAATATTGCCTAGGTGGGTGTTGCTGCATCAGTCAGACGTCAGTTTGCTTCGAAGAGTCATGGAGATCGCACTGGTTGACATTCAAGGGTTCATGGTTGATGGTGAATTCATTCCAAAGGAAATGACCATTCGCATTGGCAAAAAGACGAGTCATTTTCTATTCAAGCCATCTGTAGAATTTTCGAGTTTAGGCAGAGAAGATAAAAAGATGGCAAATCATGTGGAGCGTTATGTTCATGGTTTAAAATATTCCAGTGGTTATGTGGATTTGAATGAGTTGGATCAAATACTACGAGATAACATGCAGCAGACAAACATCATCTACGTAAGAGGCCATCAAAAGATTCAGTTTTTGCAGCGAAAATGTGCAGAGTTGGAGATGACCAATCACATTGTTAATTTGGAAGATTTTGACAATTCTTGGTGGCAACCAATAACGTTTCAACAATCCATTCCACCTTGCATGAATCATTTCCGCGGAGGAAGGTTCCAGTGCAGTCTCCACAATGTCGATACTTTATATACTTGGTTATGTAATTTATTGCCAAAATAAAAAACTTTATAATAATTTCAGAGTTTTTATTCATCACATCCCTTATTTCTCAGTATAATGAAAATAACATGTGAGATTAAAATGAGTGAACATATTAGTGTACAACAAAGTGTCAAAATTGCAATGATATTGACAGAATCTTGATCATCATCTAATTTTGCGGGTGATTTCTTCAATGTAAATGTCTGCCAGTCCCCAGTTCCGCCGTCACTGCCATCAGAAAACGATAATTTCAATTTGTAGTCGATGGTGGTCCCATTGACTCGAGGCATGTCGATTGAATATACAGGTAGTTTGTTATCGTTGACATACATTCTACTCATCAGCTTCCAATCACACTGTTGTGTACGATTCACATCAAAACATACGGCTGCATTCCTCGTATTGTACGGTATGTTTGTGTAGACGACGTTGTTGCTCAGAGCTGTCAATAGAATGAAGCTTGCTTTCAGTATCGCTATCTAGCTGTGTTGGTTGGATTCTTCTCGATGTAGGAAACGTTGCAACTGAACGTCTTGGTTCTGTGAACACCTTGTCCCAAACACTCAATTGCTCGAAATCTTTGAACAAACAAACTTTCTGCTCATACAATTGGATGTCTGCACTGAGCTTTCTAACTTTCAACTCAAATTCTTCTAGTGCACGTCTGTTCAAACAATGAAACATGGGGATATTCGCGTTGAACAGCATTTGACGGACCAGTAAAATGCAATCATCTGGAGGGACTGAAGGAAACAAGTTAACCACATCAAATGACACAAAAATTGAATTTTGAGGAATATTAACATTCTTAATTTTGTTTGTTAGATCCTTGATTAGAGATCTCACAGATTTTAGTAATCTTTTGGCTTTCTAACAAACAAAATTAAGAATGTTAATATTCCTCAAAATTCAATTTTAGTGTCATTTGATGTGGTTAACTTGTTTCCTTCAGTCCCTCCAGATGATTGCATTTTACTGGTCCGTCAATTGCTGTTCAACGCGAATATCCCCATGTTTCATTGTTTGAACATTTGTACTTTGCTGGATATTGTTCTCAAACAAAATTTCTTTCAATTCAATAATTCTTATTTTTCACAAGTTTCTGGCCTAGCAATGGGAAGTAACTTATCTCCTCTTCTGGCTGAAATCTTTTTACACAATTTAGAAAGTCAACTAAATGATTTCAATTTGAATCAGAAAATATGTTTCTGGTACAGGTATGTTGATGATGTTGTAGTTTTATTTGATGGTAATTTACAGGAAGTCAACCTTTTCTTGGATTTCTTGAATTCCTTACACCCTGCAATTAAGTTTACTATGGTGGTTGCAGTGAACAATTCACTTCCCTTTTTGGATTTGCTTATCAACATGGACAATGGCCATTTCAACTTTTCCATTTACCGTAAACCTACACACACCGATTCAGTCATCCCTTTCTCTTCTTGCCATCCTAATCAACATAAATTTGCTGCATTTAATTCTCTGTTCCATAGATTGTTCAACATTCCTATGAGTCCGGTTGCTTTCAATAATGAACTGAACATTATCAAACAGATTGGTCATAATAATGGTTTCCCTCCTCATGTCATCAATAGAATATACAACAAACACCTCAACAAATCTATTAATAGAAGTTTATTGCCCTTGGATAACCCTAGGAACCGTTTTGCCTCAATTCCGTTCTTGGGTAAAGTCTCCATTGATATTAAAAATATTTTTCATCGTTTTATGGATAATATAAATATTTCTTTTCACACTATTGACAATATTTCAAAAATCTTAGTTAATACAAAAGACAAAGTTCCTTTGAATCACAAATCTGGTGTCTATAGCATTTCTTGTTCTGATTGCAATGCACAGTATGTTGGCCAAAGCGGTAGAAGGATTTCAACTAGAGTCTTGGAACATGTAAAAACCATAGAAAAATCCAAAACCTCCCCTCCGATTTTAGACGAGTATAACACTAAGAGTTCTTTTGCTAACCACATACTGAATTCTGAACACAATTTTGACATGAATCAAGATTTGAAAATATGACATGTTTGTCAGAAAGGTACTTTATTGAATTTGTTGGAAATTTTCGAAATAAATTCTGCTTTGAACAATAATTTGGTCACATCCCTTAATGAACAGGTAAACTATGATTGTGTGAAATTTTTCAATTCTTTAGATTTCACCAATAACCAAATTTAGTTTTTATGTTGTTTGGCACCTGCTTTGGTCTCTTTCAATTATCATCATTCATTTGCTTTCAGATTTGCTACTAACCATCTTGTTGGAATGTTCCTCCTCCCCCTCCCTTTCAAATCTTCTCATTGTCATTTCTGTTTGAGTATTCTCAACTGTACTACCTCTAGTGGAATTCACATTCATCCCATTGTTTGCTTTAATTCTGTGTCCTATGTCACTTGTCATAATGTCATGTTATTAAGACTTTGACTTATGTCAAGTTCTTGCAATTAATTCTGTGTTTCTAACCTTAGGTTGGATCGTGACACGTTTTTGGCTTTTGGCCCCATCAATTCTAAATTGATTTTTGATTTTTAAGTGCGCTCTCTCAAGGGTACGGGACCCCTTTTCCCATAATACACCAATATGGTTATTTTGAGCACCTTGTGTGTTCGTCAAGTTTCCCTTCTGGGACTTGACTTGTGATTTTATTCATAAGTGCGCGTTCTCAGGGCACGGGGCCCTTCATTTTTAATGAAAACCCGTTTATTCCTAAACTATTTATTCTCATCGATGACATTATGATGAGAGACATCGTCATCTTTGTTAAAACAAACAATGTTTCACCTCCATGTAAGTCAAAAAACAATGTTTTTTTATAACATTTTGTATATTTTCACATGTCTTTACTTTTAGTAATTTCTTAAATACGGCTGAAGATGGACTTTTATAAGTTCGAAACATGTCCGTTGAATAAACACTTCATATTAAAGTTATGGAGATGACTTTGAGCTTTCCTTCCTCCTTTAAAATACATTAACTTTGCCAATAGCAATGCTGCACATAATTCTAGTCTGGGGATGGATATTTTTTTCAGAGGGACCACTTTTGACTTCGCACATAAAAAACGAGTTAGAATGTCTCCATTTCTGTCTAGATATCTGGATATATATGACACTCCCATACCCCCTCTCGGAGGCATCACAGAAGCCATGGATTTCGCTTTTCATAACGGAGAGGGATGTGACATATCTGGGGATTCGAAGCTGGGATAAGGAGTTCAGGTCCCTTTTCAGTCGATCCCAGTCGTTTAAAATTGCTTCTGGTAGTTTTGAGTCCCAGTCGAGACCTAAGGTCCAGAGGTGTTGAATTTTAATTTTCAAAGAGAGTGTAAAAGGTGTTAAAAAACCGAGAGGGTCAAAGACCCTAGCGAGTTCTGATAGAAGTGTCCGTTTCGTACATTGAGTATTAATAGGGTTGACCTGAAAAGGAAACGAATCATGAGAAGGATTCCACTGCAGGCCGAGAATTTTCACAGTAGACTCATTTTCACTATCGAATGATGAAGGGTTGTACTGAAGATCTTCAGGGGTAAGTGGTTAAGAAGGGCTGGTTCATTACTCGACCATTTTCTTAGTGAGGAGCCACCCTTTTATAGGAGAGAGATAAGATCTTTTCGCAGTGAAAGGGCATGTGGAATAGAGTTTTCTCCAGTGACTATGTCATCCATATATATATCAGTTTCAATTATTCTAGAGACGAGGGGGAGTTCATTGTTATAATCCTTCACGAGTTGAAGTAGGACACGAATAGCCTGAAAGGGAGATGAGTTAAGACCATACGTTACCGTGAGTTATCTGAAATCTTGGACGGGTTCGGATTTAGAGAACCGCCATAATATCCTTTGAAAGTCGACATGTTTCCGAGAGACTAGAATCTGACGATACATTTGTTTTATATCAGCGGTGAAAACTATACGTGGTAATCGGAATTTCAGAAGAATAGAAACTATGTCTCTTTGTAGTTTAGGTCCAGTCAACAGCGTATCATTGAGAGAAGTATTGTTCGAATCACGAGCACTACCATCGAATACTACACGTAATTTTGTGGTGACACTATCGGGTTGGATTACGCTTAAATGCGGAATATAATAGGCGGGTCTACTGAGACATTCCTTTGGAACAAATTCCATATGACCAGAAGAGAGGTAATCTTTCATAAAGTCGTTGTACTGAGAATGTAACGAGGAATCTTTATACAAGCGGTTTTCCACCGTGAAAAATCGTCTGAGAGCAATATCGCGAGAACTTCGAAATGTAGGCTCGGGACCACGAAATGGCAGACACACTATATATTGGCCTGAGTCTGATCGGGAAATGGTTGTCTGAAAATATTCCTCAGCAAGAATAT